AAGTTTACAAAATGGATTTCTGGTCGAGTTATTGGAATATTACGGAGCTCGATGGATAACGGTATTTAAAGACAATCTTGAGCTATAATTGTAATTTCATAATGTCAAAATTTGTGCAAGTATCGAGGGCGTAATGTAGACATCTCGTTCCGTGGGTGTCGTAAGGAGTAACTATAGGATCTTCTCGAAAGGGAGGGCGACCTCTATCTCTAGAGCCATGCATTATTCCAAATCCCACTAAACGGTGTTAATAGAAGACTTCAATGCAAAACTAGGCACAAGAGACAACGGTGAGCTGAAAGTGACTTCATGGAAAAAAAGGGGCTCTTTATGATGAACTCTTTTTTCCAGAAGCGGACCCACAGGAAGTGGACCTGGTCGAGCCCCGACGGTTCGACAAAAACTTAGCTTTATTATGACGACCAGACGATAACTGTCCAGTGATGTCCCAGTGATCGAGAGGGTAAAAACTGGTAGAGATCACAGAATGGTTAGAGGCACATAACCTAAACGTTAAGTTGGAGATGTCTCTGCTGATAAAATCAACGCTCCGTCCCCCTCGTGCTCCAAAGTCCAAAGTCCCGATACCTATCAACTCGAGTTACAAAACCGTTTTCAATGCAAAACAGACTGCAATGAAGTAGACGATATAAATGATAAGCACGTGGAAACTGTCCATACGGTCGGAGCTAAGTTCTGCAAGACCCGCTGAAGAAGAACACAAAATTTCTTAGTTAGACGGGAAATTAAGCTGCAGTCTTCAACACATTTGACAGCATACAGGCAACTGAACAGACAGATCTCCAAATGTATGCGGCGGGACTTACGCGACTTCATACAGCTTGTATTGAAGAAGCGATCGAGCGGAACCAAGGCTCCAAAGTCTTTGCCAGAGATATGTCTGCCAGAAAGAGCCAACTGTTAAAGCTGAAGACCGAGTGTGGCAGCATCGTTTCTGGGGCACCTGAGATTTTGACTTCTACGGGCCGGACTTCTATGGACAGCTATACACGTCATCGTTGGAGCCACACGCAAGTGTGAGTAACGATACAAGAGCGAGACTTATCCGACACTATTCCGAAGATAGCCCGCACGTTAGTCTGAGCGAGATTGGTATGGCTCTCCAGCACCTTAAGAACGGCAAGGCCCTAGGTAAGGATAGAATTACAGCGGAGCTTCCTAAAGCGGGTGGAAAACCGCTCCTTGAATTCCTTCAGAAGCTCTTTAATTCCGTCCTCCATGGTGGCACTACTCCGGAGGCGTAGATAAGAAGTGCGGTGGTGTTTTTCTTCAAGAGAGGCGATAATGCTCTCTTGAAGAACTACAGACAGATTTCCCTTCTGAGCCGCGTCTACGTGCTGTTTTCGAGAGTCATTACGAATCGTTTCGCGCGCAGACTCGACGACTTCTAGCCTCCCGAACAAGCTGGTTTCCGAAAGGGCTTTAGCACCATAGACCACATACATACCTTTCGGTAAATTGTACAGAAGTCCGAGGAGAACAATTTGCCACTATGATTGGCGTATGTGCACTATGAGAAAGCCTTTTATTTCCTCGAAATTTGGGCGGTGCTACAGTCCCTTTAGCGATGCTAAGTTGACTGTCGGTATATCCAAACACTGAAGTGTTTGTACAGTAGGGCTACGATGGCTATCCGCATACAGAATCAGAGTACGAAAACTATCCAACTACAGTAAGACAGGGTGATGTTATATCCCCGAAACTCTTCAAATACCGAAGATCTTTCAATGCAGTGATTGCAAGACGTTTTCAAGCTACTGTACTGGAAACGATACGGTCTTAACATCAATGGCGAGGACATCACTTACCTTCGATTCGCCGACGATATAGTCCTTATAGCAGAATCGCTGGAGGACCTAAGCACTATGCTCAATGACCTCAGTAGCAAAGATCATGTTTAATGTCCACGTCACACCTATGCTGATAGTTGGTGGGAGCACTAAGCTCGAAGTTGTTGACGAGTATGTTAAGTTTGGTAGTTGGTAAGTCCAACTTAAACCGAGAGGTCAATCGACGGATTCAACTCTGCTGGACAGCGTTCGGGAAATTACGGCACATCTTCTCGTCGGGTATACCTCAACAATTGAAAACGAGACTGTACAACCAGTGCGTGTTGGCAGCGATGAGCTATGGAACTGAGACGTGGTCCTTCACTGCTGTCCGGTTGAGGAAGTTCAAGGTCGCTCAGCGAGCTATGGGCTATGCTCGAACTTTCTCTGCTTGATAAACTTAGAAATGAGGATATCCGCAGCAGAACCAGAGTGGCCGACATAGCCCAACGGATAAGTATGCTGAAGTGGCAAAAGCCCGGCCATATAGTTCGAAGAACCGACAACCGATGGGGAAAAAATGTTCTCAAGTGGAGGTTCGTTCCCGTGAACGAAGTGTAGGGCGCCCCCCCACTAGATGAAGTAATGACCTGGTAAGACATGCAGGAAGTCGATGGATGCAGGTGGCTCAGGACCGTGCTTTTTGGCATTCTTCGGGAAAGGCCTATGTTCAGCAGTGGACTTGTGAAGAGCTGTAGGATGATGATGATGAATGTTTTGAATAGAATAGAATAATGTTTTATTCAATATAGATCACGTGTGTAATTCTTATTGAAAGTCATTTTTTACTTTAACACTGTTACGAAAAATACCTCTGTCCTGGGAAAAACTAGCAAGAATCCCAGTGGGACTCTTTTTTTAAAAAAAAGCATATATTACATTAATGGTTGGTACAAAATTTATTTTAGAAACAGCTTGGAAGCTACCACCTCATTCCTAGGGGTCATTATCAACCATGTATTCATTTATACTATAATAACCCTTTTTATACAGTTTCAGCTTAATAAAACATTTGAACTTGGTAATAGAAAGAACCTGTACACTTTCCGGGAACTTGTTGTAATAGCGTATACATTGCCCCAAGAATGTATTACTGACTCTGTGGAGTCGAGAAACTGGTATCATTAGCTTGTGTTTGTTCCTAGTGTTTACAGAATGTATATCACTTTTTTTACTAAAAGTACCTTTGTTTTGTGAACATACATAAAATTTTCGTAAATATACTGAGAGGCCAAAGTTAATATATTTATTTCTGTAAATTTATCTCTAAGAGACTCTCTCGGTTTTAGGTTGTAAATAGCTCTAATGGCCCTCTTCTGTAAAACAAAAATAGTTTCTGAATCAGCCCCATTTCCCTTTGGCAAAATCCACATTATGCTATGGAAATAATTGAAATAAACTAATCTTGCTGTCTCGACACTAGTGAGACCTCTTATTTTTTGATTGTTTGTTGATTGATAACAACACCTGCGAATAAGGTGGTTGCTTACAAGCTGTTTCTTAAATAAGTTTTGAAAGTAGTTTGGACGTCCACATTTAGATTAAGAATTAAAATTCAGATGCTTTATCACCCTTGAATACTAAAATGGAATACCTAGTTTCCAGTAAAAAGTGTCTTCTGTTCCCTACACTCACTTTACGGAACAGAGCAGCATTTAAGAAGAAGGAAAAAAAAATTATTTGAATAACTAAAACTCATGTTTTGTTGTGTTAGTATTACTTATAAATAGCTCAGAGATCCGTGGTAGCTCAGATGTTTAGCGCTCGCGGTAAATTTAACGCGAACAACCCGGGTTCGATTGCCGCCGGCACCAATGAAATTGTTAACTGCAATTTTAAGTGCTGATCACGTGCTCGGCGGTGAAGGGAATCATCGTGAGGAAACCTGCATGTCTGAGAAATAAGGAAAAAAAAAAGTAATTCGAAGACATGTGAAGTTCGCCAACACGCATTGGGGCAGCGCGGCGGACACTTCCTTGCCTTGAAACCCTCTCAGAAACGAGAAGAGCCCTATAGATAGGCTGTAACTTTAACTTTTATTTTTAGATAGAGGGTATAGTTTTGTCACAAAATATTGAGAAATAGAAAAACATTCCATTTATAAGTGCCGGATGGGCGCTGCTGCGGTTTCCAATTTCTTGGAGAGCGAACACGGAGTCAGGAAAAATACAAACGTATGTCAGTCTCATTTTCATGCATGCCCTTTCGATCGCTAAGCATTCAGCTAAGAAAACGGTACAACTACTATGAAATTTAAGGCGTTTTACGGTTTCCTTTCTATGATAAAAATTTATCACGTATGCAGCGCTTACTGCTTCATTATGTTTGCTACCGTCCGTATATATTTTAATAGTATTTGTCGTACAATAGTTTCTGTGTGTTCAGTGTTCTAGGTCTTCTAAGTTTATTATTTTATGTATGTAATGTAGGTATATAGATTTAGGTAGCCGGCACTAGATTGTCCGTGCGGCGGCAGTCGGGAATTAAACGTCTTAGCGAACGCACCGTGTATTATTTAAAACATTACAGTGGCTAACGAGTTTGGGATAGCGTTGAATTTGTGCATACGTTGTTGCGGTAGTAAATATTAGAATGTCGGTAGGGAAAATCGGTGAATTTGATTTAAGAAAAGAAGCATGGTCGTCGTATGTGGAAAGACTGGAAATGTATTTCTTAGTAAATCAAATAAAAGCTGAATTAAAATTACCCACACTAATCGCGGTAATCGGCGATGAAGCATACGAATTGTTGGCAAACCTAGCAAGTCCAAAGAAACCATCCGAACTATCGTACGGTGACGTAGTGGAACTCTTACGTCAGCATTTACAACTGACACCATCCGTGCACGCTGAGAGGTACCGATTCAGACAACGCAGGCATGCTAGCAACGAAAATATAGCGAGCTACGTCGCGGACTTAAAGAAGCTGGCACGTCATTGTAAGTTTAAGGAGGCTCTTAGTGAGAACTTACGAGATCTATTTGTTTGCGGGCTGCGAAGCGACGTCATTACGCAACAGTTGTGCGCGGAGGATGAGTCGCTACCATACACCAGCGTAGTCAAAACCGCAACCTCTCTCGAAGCAGCGGAGCGGGACGCGGCGGCAGTGGAAGGTGCTACTACAACGGGGAAGGATACCAGGATTCAGGAATTGACGACGGTGCATGCGCTCACACGTGGCGGGGCGTGGCAACGCGGGGAGCGGGTGCGGCGTGGGGGCGGCGCGGGAGAGCGGATCGTCGGAGCAGCGGCGAGAAGCGGCGCTGGCGTGGCGCGCGGGACGGTGCGCACGCGCAATAGCGGCTGCACCAATTTTGCCGGTGACCCTGGGGCTGGGGGTCATCAGTTCAATTGCGGAGGCTGCGGAGCGACGGATCATGAGTATTCGAACTGTCGTTTCCGGTTCTATATATGCAGCATGTGCAGACGCCCGGGCCACCTGCGACGCGTGTGCCCAGACGCGGCCGGTAAGACACGGAGAAAACAAACGGCGGCCCCATTACACTATGGCGGGGCAGACGGAGCAGTCGAAAACGAAGAAGTACCGGAGGCAGACTTCCACCATCTATGCCTAAACGACTACCAACCGGTGAGTTTACCCGTAATAATTGACAATAAAACAATTAAAATGGAAGTGGACACGGGTGCGGCTGTGTCTTGTATTAATAGGCAAACCTATGAAAAGTATTTTAACCATCATCCAATTAAAAATAGTAAAATAGTGTTAAACTGTTATGATGGCTCCAGTGTAAACCCTTTAGGTATAATTAAGCCGGTCGTCCGCCATGCGGGCCGAACCAAACGATTAGAATTATTTGTTATCGAAGGGGGCACTACATCATTACTCGGCAGACAATGGTTAACGGAATTAGGCATAAAAATTCCCGCATTTAGTAATAATTGTCACCATTTATCGAATAAGAAAGAGTCTATGTCAAATGAAATAAAAAAAATATTTTCTAGGTATAAGGAACTATTTAGCGGCGGGCTCGGGCGGTTCACGGGTGGCAAAGCGACGTTGGGTGTGCGGGACGGGGCGGCGCCGGTGTTCCACCGCGCACGGCCGGTGCCCTACGCACTGCGCGAGCGAGTCGACGCGCAACTCGACGCAATGCTGCGGGACGGCATCATTGAGTCCGTCGACTGCTCCGACTGGGCCTCACCGATTGTTCCGGTAAATAAAGCGGATGGCTACTTGAGAATCTGTGCTGACTTTAAAGCAACCCTTAATCCGGTATTGCAGATTGATCGATATCCCTTACCACGAATTGATGACCTGATGGTAAAATTGAGCGGGGCATGCTATTATTCCAAAATAGATTTATCACAAGCATACAACCAGATCGAGTTAGATGATACAAAAAAATATACAGTCATAAATACACACAGGGGCTTGTATAGGTATAACAGATTGGTCTATGGCTTGTCGTCGAGCCCGGGAATATTTCAACGTACTCGTATAATGTGTAATGTACTACAGGGGATACCTAACGTAGAAATATTTTTAGATGACATCATCATCGGAGGGAAAACTAAAGACGAACATTTAAAGGCTCTGGAGACAGTCATAAGTAGACTACATAAATCGGGTTTCAAATTAAAAAGTAGTAAATGTGTATTTCTAGTGGATGAGGTGAAATATTTGGGATATATTATAAGTAGCAAAGGCATTAAAACCGATCCCTCAAAGGTAGAAACCATATTAGGGATACCCAGGCCGACTATCGTGACGGAGTTGCGGTCGTTTCTAGGTATATTGAATTTCTATGGCAAATTCATAAAGAATATGAGTGATAAGTTATTTCCGTTGTACGATTTGCTTAAAAAAGATAAACAATGGTACTGGTCATCGGATTGCGAAACATCGTTTACTCAAATTAAAAAAATACTGTCCAGTGCCGAGGTACTAGCGCATTATGACCCTAAGAAACGTTTAATTGTTACTTGTGACGCAAGCGCGCGGGGAGTCGGGGGCATCCTTTCCCAGGTAGATTATGAGGGCCGGAGCAAGCGGCCCATAGCTTTTGCATAGCGTTCGTTAAATAACGCGGAAAAGAATTACTCCCAAATACATCGTGAAGCGCTGGCTATTATTTTTTTGCATGAATAAATTTCACCAATATTTATACGGGAAGAGTTTTACATTACGCACCGACCACAAACCTTTAGTTTCCATTTTTGGCCCGAATACGGGAATACCGACCATGGTAGCTAGTCGTATGCAGATATGGGCAATTATTTTATCTACTTATTCGTTCGACATCGAGTATGTCCGTACAGATGAAAATGGGGCGGACGGTTTATCGCGGTTACCGCTTAAAACTGAACGAAACGTGACAACCCCACCCGAACAAACGTACCTGCATTTTGTGCAACAAGCTCTGTCATTAGACTATAACGATATTAAACGGGAGACGTTGCGGGATCCATTATTATCAAAAGTACTAAGTTATATTCGTGACGGCTGGCCATCACACTGCGAAATTACTAATCTTCAACCTTATTGGAATAGACACAAAGAATTATACGAGGATCTGGGCTGTATAATGTGGGGTCATAGATTAGTAGTATCGGAAAATTGCAGGGACAAAATCTTGGCTATGATTCATGAACCTCATATGGGAATAGTGAAATCCAAAGCGCTGGCTACATAGCTTCGATGTATGGTGGGCCGGCATGGAGGAGGCGGTGGAGCGGGCATGCCGTGAGTGTATAACCTGCGCGGCGCAGGCGGATGCGCCGGCGCGGAACTCGCCGCGAATGTGGCCCTGGCCCGCACGGCCTTGGAGTCGGCTTCATTTGGATTTCATGGGTCCCATCGCGGGAAAAATATATTTGGTAGTAGTTGACGCCATGTCGAAATGGATTGAGGTTCATAAAATGACGAGTATCTCTGCCAACTGTTTAATTTACCGCTTAAATGAATTATTTAGTAGATTCGGCTTACCTCGACAAATAGTAACGGACAATGGAGCACAGTTCACGTCGAAGGAGTTCGAATATTTTAACAAGCACAACGGCATAGAGCATGTTTTTACGGCACACTATCACCCTTCCTCGAATGGTCTGGCGGAAAACGCGGTAAGAACATTAAAACGGGTAATAAAAAAGGCGTTGCAAGATAATCAAAATATAGATAGGGTGTTATGGGCATTTTTAATGTATTATAGAAATGTCGAACACGCAACAACGAGCGAGTCCCCAGCAATGCTTATGTTTGGTAGGCGAATCCGTACACTATTGGATGTCATCAAACCTGATAGGGAAGGCCAAGTGCATCAAGCTCAGCGACGCCAGCAGGACGCGGCCGCAGGAGTGAGTAGGAGTTTCGGCAAAGAGGAAGAAGTATGGTATAGGCAATACTTAAAGGGGGAAAAATGGATTCCGGGTCGCATTGTAGACGTTCTAGGCTCTAGTAATTTTAAAGTGGAAGGTAAAGACGGAGAAATTATACATAGGCATATCGATCAGCTGCGTAAACGACAAAGTAACAGTAGACTATCTCTCGCTTCTACTACGCCCATTTTGGATCAACAGTCCACCAGAGATTCTCAAGAGGTTCATTGGCCGATAGGTAGTAGTAGTCCCGCCCGCAGGTCGGAGGGGTCGGCGGAGGCAACTAGCTCGTCTCCCATAGAGGTCAGATCAGGAGTAGATCAGTCTAAGCTAGAGGGGGCTATTCCGGAGTCACCGGAACGGCAGTTCTCTTTGCCCCTTGGTGCTACACCCCGAGCTCGCCCTGTTAGGAAATGTAGATTGAATAAACCTAGTTATAAGGAGTAGTGAAGTATTTGTTGTTTTTAGTTATAATGTCTGGTATCTATAGGGGTAAGAAATAGTTTAAGTAAAGGTAATTTAAGTACTACTTATATTAAAATTAGATTAAGTATTATTGTTATGGTTGACTTAGGGTAAATATTGTATGTTATTATAGTCATAAGTATGAATTTAGTGTAGAGGAGTGTAATGTAGGTATATAGATTTAGGTAGCCGGCACGAGATTGTCCGTGCGGCGGCAGTCGGGAATTAAGCGTCTTAGCAAACGCACGGTGTATTATTTAAAACATTACAATGTAAACCTATTGTAACTCTTTCCGCGGGGTGCAATATATTTTAGGAGGTATTCTCTTGTCCAGAGTTATGTCGTCAGGTAAATATTTACTTATTCCATGTATGTTTGTTAGTTCGTTGCCGGATATTTCGTTTATTTTAAGGTGTAACGGCGTAAGGTCTGCTTATGCAATGGGTACAGTTATAGATAGTGTTCAGAAGCTTCTTACTATTTTAATTACAAATCCCCTCTGTAGACTAAGTAAGGCTTTTGTGACTGCCTTATAACATTGTTCATATTATTTATTGCATCCATAATGTTACAGTTAAGGTGTTGAGAACATTTTAAGTTTTAACTTAAAACTATGAGACCATTATGGTGCCCCGCAGGGTCAATTAAGTGAGAGGGCGACCATTATAATGAAACAATAGTGATAAATACACTATGTTATATTGCAACTGTAGGTATTTTTGAAATAAAATAGAATTGAAATATGTATTCGTTTAGTGTGTAGTAGGGCTTACAAATTAAAAAGTCCTTTAGTTTATTTATAAACATAGTTTCTTTTTCTACATTTTTACCGATTCTGAGAGTTTGTTAAAAATTTTGTTAGATATGGGTAGAGTCAGTTTTTATTTATGGCGTAATTGGTACCTGGTATTGCTTTCTCCTCGTTTGATATAAAATTCTAGGTATTTTTTAAATGAATTTGCAGATTTCCAAAATGTATACACACGGTAAGGTGAGTATTTTATGTTTGACGAAGTATGTTTGATATAGGTCTATAGTTACTTTTATCCGCGAGATCACCTGTTTTATTATTTACAACCGTACGCATAATGTCAGCGGGCCGGTATCCATGTTCTAGGCAGATGATGAACAATAAAAATATTACTCGAGGTAGTTGCGGGCCTATTCATCTTAACATGATTTTCACGATCTTGTCCTACTTCAAGCGAGATTTGAAATTTTTTTTAGCTTCACGCTGTGGTGGTGTATTGTTATAAATAATAAATAATTATTTATTCTTCGTAAATATATCTTTATAATATTATAAACGTAAATTTTTGTGAGGATATATTATGGACGTTTGTTACTATTCCATGCCAAAACTACTGAATCTATTTTAATGAAACTTTACAATAATATAGCCCATACACCAGAACAACACATAGGCTATATTTAATAAAGATACTGTGAGAATTGGTCAATAAAGTGTTAAGTAAGTCGGAAAAAAATCTAACGTCTGCGTATTTTGGCGTGCGGTGCAATAACTGTAAGAGTCGCACAAATATAATGTACCTACTGGCTGTTCCCCGCGACTTCGCCCGCGTGGAACTATTTTGCGCGGAACCCTTAAATAAATAATTAAAAATTAAAAATTTTGTACAGCCGACTTCAATATTATTAAGAATAACTCAAATAATTCAAAAACTATTGATCTGACCTTGATCTAATTCATATGGGACCACACGAGAAGTATCAGCTTTTATATAAAAAAAAGAATCATTGAAATCGGTCCACCCAGTAAAAAGTTATGAGGTAACACACATAAAAAAAAACATACGCGTCGAATTGAGTACTGTCTCCTTTTTGGAAGTCGGCAGATAAAAGAAGCTTAAATTACTCCTTATAACATCAGCTATCTGCAAGTGAAAGTCCCTACCCAATCGGTTCCACTTACTATTTTAAAATTATTGTCGCCTTGCGGCGTAAGTATATAAATCTTACCAAGATTTATATACTTACTAATCTTGGTAAGATTTACATACTTACTCCGCTCGAGTCCAGTCTGGAAATGTTCTGATATTTTTAAAGATATTGATAATAATCTTAAAATAGCTATAGAAAAATTCAAAATTTAACTTTAAATACAACAACCCGGACTCAAGCTACTATACCTATGAAATTTGGTGGTTTTGGTGTGAGGAATATTTCTAGCGTTGCATTGCCTGCTTTCCTTGCTTCCGTGCATAGTCAGTGACTTATGTAAGATAATTTTAAATAATAAAGTAGACCTGTGCTTTGCAACGAAGGCAAGACAGACATGGCGAACACTCTGTCCCAGCGAAAATGTTCACTGGAAGTTAACCAACAAAAACAGTGGGATATTCCGTTGGTACAGAGCGTGCGGAAAGACCAAGATTAGGCACGCCTTCTAACTGTTTCGAATAAGGAATCTTGTCACCGGTTACACGTTTTACCATTAAGTAATCTCGGCACATTACTTGATAGAGAAAATTTGCTCATTGCCATAGGAATCCGACGTAGGAAGAGCGGCGATTTGTCAACCCCATCAGTGCCCCTGTGGTAACAGCGTCGACAAGTTTGGAATCCACGGACTTTCATCAGAACATTGACATCAGGACGTCAAACACCTCAGTCCCCCCAGTGACCATCGGTGCTATAAAGCAAAAAATTTAAATTAAATGCGATAAATTCCGTAAAAATAAGTTTCATTTAATTATAACATAACAAAACAAAACTAAACTGCCATTTACATTCCATTGCTTCCCACATGAGAGATAAAGAAATTAAAAAATAAATTGAGTTAAACAATTGATATTTTTAAAAGTTATCGTGCTTATATCTCCATGCGAACTTGATAAGTCTAAACCATAAGCCACTAAAACCACTTCTTTATATGAATATAGCAATTAATCGAATTAAAAAAAAATTGTAAGTTCAATAATCATTTATTTTTCCTAAAATGTGCTTTTATATCATTTATAATATGTTCAATATGATTGTCAGATATGATTTCATGCGACAAAACATTGGAATCTTGATTTTTACGCGCTAGTAGAACATATCCGCGCGCTTTGCGCTTAAGGCATAAAATAACATCATTAACAACAGTAGTAACAGACTCCGTGCTACAACAGGTCCCATCCACAGAGATCGTGATACTGAGCTGAATCCCTTGGTTCTCATTTAACCGATCATGCGAGTAGATCTGCCTATGACTTTGTCTTGGCCTATGGTCTAACACAACTGGTTACTTCGCCTACGCGGATCCTAGATGTGGAGGATCATGTACTTTCCCTGTTGGATCTTCTGCTGACCTCTCATCCGGACGGATATCAGGTCTCCGTTGATGCCCCTTTGGGCTCTTCGGACCATTGTCTGATCCACACAAGCACGCACACGTACATGCACGCACACATAAAAAAACACAAATAAACACGCACACATACAAGCACGCACGCATGCATGCAAGCACGCACGCACGCATCCATGCACACACGCACGCACGCACGCACTCACGCACGCACACGCTCATGCACACGCACACGCACGAACGCACACGGTCACGCACTCGCACACACATAAGCATTTGCACACGCACACGCACACGCATAAGCACACGCACATGCACACGCACACGCACAAGCACACGCACGCGCACACGCAAATGCACACACATACGCACACGCACACGCACAAGCACCCCCCCCACACACACACACACTCACGACACGGTCTCTCTCTCTCTCACACACACACACATACACACACACAGAGAGAGAGAAAGAGAGAGAGAGAGAGAGAGACACACACACAGTACAATATGTACGCATCTTAGATGCAACAGCATACGCATGCATATTTTTATTTTTTGTTTTTCTGTAATTTGTAAGAAGTTTATTTATTTTGTTACCTTGTTCTGATTTGTGTTAAGCTGATAAGGCTATTGTAATTGCAACTTTGTGGATATGGGAAGGAACTGAATCCCGACACACAGCTATTGCTAGTTCGGATGTGAGGGTTATTTTTACTGGAAAAGGGGCTTGCCATCTTAGTCCTCTCAGGTGATAATGCATCTGCATTTTGATTCGCAATAGAAGATAGATGTACATATCTATGGGCCACAGCAACCATTTACAACCTGGTGGAATGTGTGCTCGTTTGTCACCCTATCCTATAAAAAGGCTTCAACTTTGTAGTGTCAACATGGTGTTATTCAATATATAAATTTATTATTATTGTGGGGTACCTATATAGTTTTATCATCTGATTGGGCTGTACAAATATGTAATTTTAAATGATACCTTATTATTACTATAATTTTGATACGTCGGCTATCTTTCGGATTAGGATGAAAGTGTGTAGTAGTACTTGTAAAGTAAGTAGTAAAGTGCTATATGATATATGGATTTTTAGTAACTGGCATCTTAGTAGCGTTCTACTATGATACGTTGGTGCGTGCTATTTTTAATAACGAACATATTACCAATTTCGTTGACAAAGTTGATAGGGATCATATAGGTGTATGTAAGGGAGCGCCATCCATATGAAAGTTATCAATGCAACTTACTTACTGCTACTTGCGGTATTGTGTCTTATGATAGATCTGCGGGTGTACTGCGCCTGATTCGACGCATCTTGTGGTTCTGATCGATGGAAGTATGCGAGTAAAAGAAGCAAGTCGATTATTGGAAACGAACATGTAAAATATTTGGACCTTAAGGACTCGGCTTAAGAAATAAACGTGGGACAAGACTTCTCCAATTCGCGTTTGTCTAAGCAATATTTCTCTACTTTTACAAAAAACCTCGTCGTCGTGGCTATATCCCGATAAAAATCTCTAAAATTGAAATAGGTTTTTGCCATACTTCTAACAAACAGTTGATTATTACAGTTAATTCTTAATAATTTCAAGTTTAGTTTGCACCACAGACTTTTACGTGCGACAATTAAATTTAATCAAAAGATACACCGTGCTCAAGTT